AGCCCGGGGAAGAGGCAGAGGCTCGCTCTGTCGCCCGGGCGTCAGCCTCGCTCACAGCAGCCTCCACCTCCTGGCCTCGAGCGAGCCTCCCGCCTCGGCCTCCCTCCCGAGTAGCTGGGACTCCAGGCACGCGCCTCCACGCCCGGCTCGTTTTTTCTCTATATATTTTTATTTGGGCGATTAATTTCTTTTTATTTTTTTTTTGAATAGAGACGGGGTCTCGCTCTTGCTCAGGCTGGCCTCCAGAGATCCTCCTGCCTCGGCCTCCCTCCCGAGTAGCTGGGACGACAGGCACGTGCCTCCACGCCCGGCTCGTTTTTTTCTATATATATTTTTATTTGGGCGATTAATTTCTTTTTATTTTATTTTTTTTGAATAGAGACGGGGTCTCGCTCTTGCTCAGGCTGGCCTCCAACTCCTGGCCTCCAGCACGATCCTCCTGCCTCGGCCTCCCTCCCGAGTAGCTGGGACTACAGGCATGCGCCACCACGCCCGGCTCGTTTTTTCGATATATATATTTTTTTAATTGGCCAATTAATTTCTTTCTGTTTTTTTAGTAGAGACGGGGTCTCGCTCTTGCTAATCAGGCGGGCCTCCAACTCCTGACCTCGAGCGAGCCTCCTGCCTCGGCCTCCCTCCCGAGTAGCTGGGATGACAGGCGTGAGCCTCCACGCCCGGCTAATTTTTTCTACATATTTTCAGTTGTCCAGATAATTTCCTTCTATTTGTTTTTTTTTTTAGTAGAGACGGGGTCTCATTCTTGCTCAGGCTGGCCTCCAACTCCTGACCTCGAGTCGAGCCTCCCTCCTCAGCCTCCCTCCCGAGTAGCTGGGACTACAGGCATGCGCCACCACGCCCGGCTCGTTTTTTCTGTATATTTTTATTTCTCCGACTCATTTCTTTCTATTTTTCTTTTAGTAGAGACGGGGTCTGGCTCTTGCTAATCAGGCCGGCCTCCAACTCCCGACCTCGAGCGATCCTCCCGCCTCGGCCTCCTCCCAGAGAGCTGGGCTGACAGGCGTGAGCCTCCGCGCCCGGCCTCCTGGGGCGCTTTTGCTGTCCCCGAGGCCAGGAGTTGGGGGGAAGGGGGGACGGCATAAGAGAGGAAGAGGAGGGAGAGGAAGGTGGCCGTTGCTATAGTGAAGAAGTGACAAGATTGCAACGGGCGCTTTCTGAAAAACCTCCACTCTGGGGAGCCTCACCCTTGAGGCCTCTCTCTCCAGCCTCTACCCCGGGGGGAGCCTTTTCTCACCCGGTCCCCTGTCAAAACCGTAACTATGACAACAGGCACCACCCACGCGTGACACACTTGACCCCTCCCTCCTGTCAGTCCGAGGCTCCAGCGAGCCTCCTGCCTCGGCCTCCCTCCCGAGTAGCTGGGACCACAGGCGTGCGCCTCCACGCCCGGCTCGTTTTTTTTTTTCTGTTTTTGTTTTTTTGGGTGATTTGTTTCTGTTTTTTAGTAGAGACGGGGTCTCACCCTCTTGCTCAGGCTGGCCTCCAACTCCTGGCCTCGAGCGAGCCTCCCTCCTCGGCCTCCCTCCCGAGTAGCTGGGACTCCAGGCGTGCGCCACCGCGCCTGGCCTCATTTTTTTCTATATATATTTTATTTGTCCGACTCATTTCTTTCTATATTTTTAGTAGAGACGGGGTCTCGCTCTTGCTCGGGCTGGCCTCCAACTCCTGGCCTCGAGCGAGCCTCCCTCCTCGGCCTCCCTCCCGATGTAGCTGGGACTCCAGGCGTGCGCCACCACGCCCGGCTCGTTTTTTTTTTCTGTTTTTGTTTTTTTTGGGTAATTTGTTTCCATTTTTCAGTAGAGACGGGGTCTCACGCTCTTGCTCAGGCTGGCCTCCACCTCCTGGCCTTGAGCGAGCCTCCCTCCTCGGCCTCCCTCCGGATGTAGCTGGGACTCCAGTTACGCGCCACCACGCCCGGCTCGTTTTTTTTTTCTGTTTTTGTTTTTTTTTGGGTAATTTGTTTCCATTTTTCAGTAGAGACGGGGTCTCACGCTCTTGCTCAGGCTGGCCTCCACCTCCTGGCCTCGAGCGAGCCTCCCTCCTTGGCCTCCCTCCCCCCGAGTAGCGCGCCACCACACCCCTGGCCTCATTTTTTTCTCTCTCTATATATTTTTATTTGTCCGACTCATTTCTTTCTATATTTTTAGTAGAGACGGGGGTCTCACGCTCTTGCTCGGGCTGGCCTCCACCTCCTGGCCTCATCATGCATTCGATCCTCCGTCCTCGGCCTCCCTCCCAGAGCGCTGGGATGACAGGCGCGAGCCTCCCCGTTTTGATGCGCGGCTGCTGCGGATCTGGGGGCGCTCAGGCTGGGTCCCCCCGCTCGGGGGCGCCCCCGTGACCCGCACCCCACCTGCGCCCCCCCCCCGCCCCGCAGGTGTGCGTGGTGGCCTTGGTGGGCATCGCCCGCGCCGTGGTGTCCATGACCGTGAGCACCTCGGACGCCGCCACCGTGGCTGACAAGGTGAGGCCGGGGGAGGCCGCGGGGTGCAGGTGGGGGGCCCCCCCGGCCCCGCCCCCGCCCCACGCCCCGTGACCCCGCCCGCTCTCGCGTGCAGATCCTCTGGGAGATCACGCGCTTCTTCCTGCTGGCCATCGAGCTCAGCGTGCTCATCCTGGGCCTGGCCTTCGGTGCGTGCCCGCGGGGGCGGGGCTTGTGGGGGCGGGGCTGGGGCGAGGTGGGCGGGGCTTGTGGGAGATAGGGGTGGGGCTGGGGAGTTGGTGGGTGGGGCTAGGAGGAGGGGTGCGGCTTGGGGAAGGGACTTGCAGGACTTCTGGGGATGAGGGCGGGGCTAGGGCTCAGTGGGCGGGGTTTGTGGGGATAGGGGCGGGGCTAGGGAGTTGGTGGGTGGGGCTAGGGAGTTGGTGGGTGGGGCTAGGAGGAGGGGTGCGGCTTGGGGAAGGGACTTGCAGGACTTGTGGGGATGGGGGCGGGGCTATGGGTTTGGTGGGCGGGG